TCCTGGTTCTGACCCACGCATTCGCCTCTGGATTTCCGCCTTTCGCCTTCGCCCCTGTCGGATCCCACCAGTCGTCTGTCTCCCGGTTTCTCGACCTCTGCTTCCATCCCCTGACCTAGATGCCTCATCTCCGTTCTACAACAAGGACTTCACTGTAAGACGCTCTCTCGCCTTCCCTGTCTGGTGACGTCATCCTAGGGATTCCCCCGACAGCGCCGCTCGCTAGGAGGACTCCGGATTCCCGTGACGCAAGTTTGCTCCACTATTCAATAAACTGTTTAAATCTTCTCTTGTGTTTGACATATTGTGAAACTCAAAAAGCCCATTCATTACAGAATCCCCCCCCCACACACACACACTATTTCACAGTACAGCTTTTTCATTAGTGCCAGAGAGATGTCACATCTTTATGTTCATAGCCATTTCTTTTTGTTGACACTCATACATCCATTTTTTAACCTACTTCTTCCTTTCATGGTCACTGCTGCTCATGTCCAGCAGTCACTACGAGGGGCAGGGTACACCCTGGACAGGTCGCAAACCATCACAGGGGTACTTAGAGACAAACAAATCATTGACTCACCCACATGTAAAGACAATTTAGAGTTACCAGTTAGCCTATCAGTCATATTTTTGGTATCTGGGAGAATACCAGAGTACCTGGAGAGAACCCACACATACACAGAGAGAGCATGCAAACTCTACCCAGAAAGTTCCCAGGGATTTAATCTGGCAACCTTAATTGCCCCTCAGCAGGAATTCCTGCTGAGAGGCAACAACTCAACCAACTGAGGCACTGTGCCGCCTGATGATCCAAGACTCAAAAGAGCGAGGCCAAAAGCAAGAGGCCTTTTTTYTACCTAGACCGGTAAAAAACAGTCCCTTGTTCTTTGCTTTGCTTCATACAAAGGATTTGGACTCAGCTATTGAGAAGTGATTTCTTGCTAGAGGCGTAGACTGTTGAAGTTTAAAACAAATGGATCTAATTTACCCAATAGCTRACGTTTGGCCGTGATGTATGTAGTGCGCCAACTTGACCAAGAAAGAAGCTATGCTAAGAAGCTAACCGGAAATTGCATGCTTTATAAACAACCATCTCCCACTGGGAAGAGAGAAATACTGAGCTGAAGGAGATGGCTGTAAATGAGTGCTACAGGTTTTGTGAGACGACTTTTATTTAATTTAGAAGCCTTGTCAACATGGACTGGCTTCATTCACTTCATCYGCTGCCATATAGGCAGACTAAAATGGCGCAGAAAATTGAAGCTCCTCCTTCTGTTCACTGATTGGCCCAGGTAAAATTCTACCGGAGAAATTTTTGTCCATGGGTGAAATCCAAGATGGAGATCCCAGATGAAGGGAAACTAGAATTGAGGGGAACTGTAGGCGTTTACGCACTGCAGGGCCGGCCCCGGCCCCCAGATGGCCTGGGTCCAGCCCTGCCCAGCCCTGGATGTTTTGCACTGTCATCAGAGCCGCCTCGAAGTGGGTGGGAACTGTTTACCGGAGAAGAGCGCCTAACGGTCCTTAAACGTCGAGTGAGAAAATGAACGGTGATGCGCAGAAGAGCGGAGAGTTTCCGAAGGCTGTACTTGGCCATACAACAGCAACAGAAAGCGGCTATAGCAAGACGCAGACGGCATCGATGAGTAAGCTAACAATATTAGCTTGTTACATGCTACCGTTATGAAAGCAGTTGCTTTTTCATAGATCTATATGTTTTTTAATGACTTGCCAGACTCGATTTGACTCGTCAGAGCAAAACAAATAAGTCGTCAAACCGGGTCAGCTCGATTGGAACTACGCCTGGCCAGGTTCCAGAACTTGGGCTGGATATGGCCCTGCTATGCTTATGCACAACCACCGAACCCGGGTTAGAAGTCGGGCTGGGCCGGGCCAGGGCCGGCCCTGCAGTGCGTAAACTCCTTGTGTAGGAAGGAGAAGGCCAGGCTATGGTTTACCTGATGTGTGCGAACTGTTGCTGCTGTTGAGGCCCCGCCCTTGATACCCCCGGTTCTGTCTCTGCTGGGGGGCTCTGTGAAGAAGATGATGGCTGCTTAGCAGGCTGTTCAGGTCTGATAAGAGAGAAACACTTGGCTGCTTCTCCTCGGCTGCAGAGCTCCTTGGTTGTGGAGCTGGTTGTTGAAGGGAGCTGGCCTTGAAGCATAACAGATCCTCATGCTGACTCAAAGATGATGGACTGGAGGAAAGACCTGAAGAGTCTGTGCTACAAAAAATAATGGTTCACATTAGTTAAAATGTGTTCCTGACCGAAAACTCTAATACAGATTATAAAAAAAAAAAACAACTACCATAGTAAAAATTGAATGGCCAGTTTTTAAAGTTGGCCTTATTTAATAACAGAGTTTAAAATGTTACCTGCAAGCGGGATGTCTTAGGGGGGCATTTTAGATTGTTAGAACTTAAAGGAATAGTTCGGACAATTTGAAGTGGGGTTCTGTGGTTTTCGCTTTTAGTGAATGGCCACAGTTTTGAGAAATGGAGAATAAATCCAACAGGATGCTTGAGTTATAGTCTGAATGCAGCAAGACTTGCAAGGACATAATTCTCTGCATAAATACTTCTATGTCTAACTTCAATCACTGTTGTTTAAATGGACCTATTTGTGTGTGTTTAATAAAAGTGTCTCTCTCTAGAGTCCCAATCTGAACACCAGGTGGTGCTAATATCTGCCACATTAGTGGTTCTATGGTTAATCTGTAGTTTTCTGTTTTTTAGTTTTTGTCTTCCAGTCTGGTGTGAGGCCTTTTGTACTGCTTTGYGTGTTCTAGTTTGTTTTTTGGGACAGCTTTATTTGGTTCCACCTGTGTGGTTTCTTCACATGCTCTAATAATCTGATCTTACTGGTCCACAACTGGTTATAAAGTAGTATTTAGAAAATGTTGTACCTTTTATGAAAAAGTGACAAAGATTACATCAGATAGACCTGGAAACAGTTTTTTTTTTCAAGTGGTATTTCAGTAGAACTTGAAAGTTGCCATTTCTTCTTTTTATTTTTAAGAAATAAAACTATAGAGAACTATTTGTATTTATGATCTCAGTTCCTGTTTCTTGTCTGTTTCTGGTTAATCTACAAAGCTGTGGAGTAGCAGAAACATCCTGAATAAATCTGGAATCTTAACATTCAGCAGAAACAAACACACATATTATAACGTCTAATCACATTCTAACAGTATTTTCCCCAACTGTTTGGGTTTAGCAGTTTTTCTCCACTGCATGAAGAAACCTGAAGTTTTTAAAAGTTCTCCTGTGGTGCTCCCTAGTGGTGATAGTGCATGTTGCACACTTTGTATCCAACACGCTTCTGTCAGAATTCTGGCAGATATTTGACCTGTTATTTTCAGCATTGGTAAAGTTTTCATAAATTAGTTAGTTTCATGAAACTGGCCTTTTTTCTTTTCTTTTTTCTTTTTGTAAGCAAAGTCCACACATCAGAGTTTTAGGGTGACAATTCCTAGATGTATATAAAGAACTGTGGAAAAAAAATAACCAAGTGAAAGAAAAAATACTTTAACAGAAAATGACTTTGGTAAAAATGATTTTCACTGTCAAGAAAAGTACTTAAGTAAAAAGTCATAAAACTGCTCACCAATACTTGGGAAAGCAAAAGTAAAAGTACTTTCACACACACTCTATGAAATAATATGTTGAATTTACTTAACTAAACTAGTTTCACTAAATCAAGTTGAGTAAACTGAGCAATTTTTCTTGGAAAAAATGATTGGACTGAAACCAGGGAAACACTTCATCTCAGATGAAACCTTCATGTTGTACCTGGATGGGTTAGAAGTTCTGGTTCCACTGCGTCTGGAGATTACTGGACTGCTCCTGGGCAGGAGGAACTTTTCATCCTCAGACAGAAAAGTTAGCTCCTGTTTGTTTGGAAGGTCAGCCTGGTTTGCGAGGGTTCTATCCTTATCACCATCATCCTCCTCACCTTTGACACTGCAAGCAGTCCTGTGCTGTACACTGCTGGGTGAACTGGAACTTGTGGCATTGCTCCAGGAGCAYTGAGGAGAATTTCTGAAGGCTTTATGGTGTTTCTTTTTCATTAAGGGTAAATGTGGAGATTGAAAGGGTAATGTTAAGTCTTTTTCTTCTCTGCTGGTTTCTGATTGTGACAGAATGAGAAAACGGGGGGAACTTGAACCGGCTGAATGTTGGGTTTGATGATAAAACATGTCCTGGGTTTCTAATAGAGAGCAGAGAAAAACAAGAGAGCATTAGTCAAACTGTAAAACACACAAAGATCGTGCTTCCTGGACTTGTAAAAAATGTAAAATAATTCCGTACTGAGTGTTTGCTTTTAAAAATACAGCCCAGTTTTTAAAAGGTTTGGATGTATAAAATGTAAGAACAGAATTCAGYGATTTGAAGAAATTGTAAAATAAAAACAAGTGATTTTAAATGTGACAGCAGCGATATGTGTGGAGTTTACATGATCATCTTGTGATTTTGTTGGTTTTATCTGGTTTCCTTCCACAGATCAAAAACCTGCAGATCAAGAGGCCTTCAGGCCCAGGAGAACCTTGGAAATGAGACCTGTGTTCTCATAGGGTTTCACCTTGTTAAATAAAGGTGAAATAAATAAAATAAATACATTTTAGTCTGGTTGAATCTTGTAGAGGTAAAAGTGGGCAGAGGTTCAGCTAAAAAACTGCATCTAAAATATTTGATCTACTTCAAATAAAAGACTTAATATCCCATTGTCATAATAGAGGGTTATAAATATTCATTTGAAATAATCAAGACAACTGAAAAATTTCTGTGAAATTCAACATTAGATTGTTGTGATCTTTGGATCCTCAGGTGGCTTTAAAAACCTGTCTGGAAGTATCTACAGGTTTTAGGACATCAGCTCCCATTCAGACAGCRTTTGTTTTTAGGAAAGGTCTTGCATATTGCAGGAAGACAATGTTAAGCTGTATCCATTGCAACAGCATGAAGTGACCTGCTTTTCATTAATCAAAAACATTTAACACCTAAAGAAAAGGAAAACTCAGCAAAAAAAAAGAAAAAAAAGCAGGATTGTTGAAGAGCTAAAATCAATGGACAGAAGTGGGACAACTTCAAAACATCCAGATTTGGGGCATCATGTACAAAGACCTGCATGGATTTCCTACTGAAACATGGTGTACGCTTAAATTGAGAAAAACAACGTACACACAAATAAATCCAGATGCATGAAATCGTTCCTACACATGAATTCGAGAACATTTCAAGTACATAACTGCTCAATGTGGAACTGAGCGCGAGTCAGACACCCACCCTGACATTCCTCTATTTAAATGTGTTAAATAGATGCAAATATGCCAGCGTCATTCTCCTCCCTTTACGGTCAGAAATCATTTCTAGATGCAAGAACATGATGTGAGTGAGTAGATAATATTTGTGAGCGCTTTGATGCAATGTTCACTTTGATATTCTGATGTGTGCRTGCAACATTTTCATAGGTGTGCACCGAACATGAGGCCCCTGGTGTCAGTTCCAAGACATTTTCAGTGTTGGGATGTTCCTCAGAGGTTAATATAACAATACTTTTTTTGTTTTTATTGTGTTGCTGTCATCAAATTCAGTTACCCAATTCCTTACAAAAACTGGTACAATGTCTCAGTTAAACATTTGATATTTTTAATGTTCTTAGTGAACAAAATATGGGTTTATGAGATTTGCAAATCGTTTCATTCTGTCTTAATCTGCATTTTACACAATGTTATACACAGTATGTGGTGTTTCAGCAACTCCAGGGTGTTGTGAAACTCTATAAAATTATCTGGAGAGTGCAGTGGATCTCACCTGAGCCTGTCAGAACTGTGGCTGCAGGATGCTGTGACCCTGCAGGGTCCACACACCAGCTGACATACCCACTGGTCAGTGACAAAGGCGCGTCAGTGCTGGTTCCCATCTGAAAAGAAGACAGACCATTGTTCTCATTGACAGGGTTTAACTTTGTCAACCACTAGTAAAAAATGAAACCTGTGCCATATTAGGAAAACACCAGACTTTCAAAACTGCTTTTGGTGTGTTCATTATTAGCACTGAGAGTAGTCTGAATCTTTTAAAACTTGACTCGTACATTTTAGTCTGGAAGTCTGTTCAGCTTCATCTTTGAAACTCCCAGCATGAAGCAAACTCTCTCACAATCCTTTAGCAACAAATGCAGCATCAAGTGAAATTTATAATTTTGCAATGCAGAATGTGTCAGTATTGACAGCTACTAACATTTTTTCCCCTTTTAAAGATGTAAAAACCAAAAACTTTGATAAATCTAAATCTAAATAAAAATACATCTTTCCTAACCATAACCTCCATCTTGGGTCAGGATGGAGGATGGATCTACCGAGTTTTTTAAACTACTTTAATTCAATTTAATTTTCAATTTAAATGGATTAAATATACTAAGACCACACAAAGGCAAGTGCCCATGTCTACACACAGCAGATTCACTTTTACTTTGTAATASTGTATGTAGCTATTGGTCAGAGGTAGGGTTGGGGCAGCCGGTTCAGATCTTATCAGTCCATTAAATGGACGTTATTAGCGGTTATCAGTCCCATAGAATGCCTTCAGACTGTCCCGACTGTGTCGCCTAGTGGGTTACCTCAGTGGAATGCAGCAATCTGCTACTGCCGGAGTCCAGTCTACTTTATTGTAGCCCATGTAATTTTCTCTAAAATTAATCTTAGTGGCTTTATGCCTTACTAACCAGCTGACAGTCTGAAGCCATTCTATGGGACTGATAACTGCTAATAATGTCCATTTAATGGATGATGACATCCGAAGCGGGTGGTTAGCGTTATAAGCAGAGGTGTCAAGTAACTAAGTACAAATACTTTGTTACTTTACTTAAGTAGTAATTTTGGTTATTTATACTTTAGTGG